ATCATATTGTTTAGTGTATGCCTCTAGTACCCCCTTTGTCTCATATAGGCTCCTTGCATTAGTAAGCATGCATTTAATGTTATCATGAGTCATTTATACTTTATGCAAATTTTCATCAATATTACATACCTTCTCTGTTCTGAGCTTTCCCCTACCCCCATCTCCACCACCCTTATACCGAGCTAAAGCTCATCTCCTTTCCTATCCTATCTCCATTTTCTAGATTGCTTTGACCCTCCGCTCCCCCCCCCACTACTAGTTTAAAATCTCCTCCAACCTTCTAGCCATCCTATCCCCCAGCACAGCAGACCCTCTTCCGTTTAGGTGCAATCCATCACAACTATACAGGTTTTACCCAAGCGCAATATCGGCTCTCTTTTCTGCACCAAGACTTCAGCCTCTCTAATCTCCCGCTGTCTTTCTGCTGTAGCGCGCAGCACAGGTAATATTTCTAAAATTACTTACTTCCTAGTTCCCTGAAGTCATTCTTTAGGACCTTCCATTTTCCTCTGACTTCAGGTGGAAGAAGTAGGCAGGTTTAAGGAAGGTCCGACCTTTTTCATGCAAAGGGACAGCATGAAGAGATACAAATAAATCCTAAGCATTCCAATCTAACTTAGTGGACATAATTAAGAAGTGTTTGCAAAAGGAGAAAAAAGAGGAAAAAAACGACCCGCACTCCAATCACGTGAAGATCCGGGTGCTAAACTGGACCGATGGCCAGCACCAGCCCCAGGGAGTAATACATTCTACCATTGTCGTTAAGAAGTGGGGCTCATTCATATATTCTTGTTAGTACAGTCGCTTTGTGTTATAGTTTCAGATTTGTGAGCCCCAGGCCTCCCCTATTCTTATGTGTTGTTTTAACTTTGTATGATAGTCTAGGATGTTGTTGGGACCAGAGGAATGAACAGAAAAGTTTTCTTAATGAGGAGAAGAAGGAGTTGCGGATGGTTATGGGCAATGTCTGCAGCGTGTATAGTATCTCGGTAGTGTATTCATTTTTCAAGGTGTACAAATTTAGGCCATATAATTTGGTCAAGCATTGTGGTATTTGGATCCCCAGTTACTTGACAGTACTTATCACACACGTATCATTACTGTAACAGTGTTTTTGATTGGTAGTCTAAATGTAGTGGTAAAATTTCACTCTTTGTAAAGTTAAACTTAATGTTTGAAATTTTATTATAGGGAGATTTCTTCCAGAAGTGGGGGCATGGATGTTTTAGTGTTTGAAATAGTAAAGAGGAAGTCATCTGCTAAGGCTGCTAATGTTCATGGAAATTTGCTTGGAGGTCTTAGATGAGTTGGTTATTCCTTATGCCTTGCTAATGTGAGTGTAAATAGAAGTGGGGAGGGGGGACACAATTCTTGTGCCAATCCTTATAACCACTGGATCTGATAGCTGCAAATTGATTTTTATCCTAGCACATGGAGAGGAGTAAAGGGTTTTAATCCAACACAACCATTTGGGCTCAAATCCCAGTAGTTTGAGAGTTTCTAACAGGAGGGACCAGTCCACCATGTCGAATGCTTTTTCTGTGTCAATGGTTAGTAAAATGATCTGTGTTGGTTGTGTGGAGGAGGTTTAGAATTTTCTGCGGTGTTGTTTTTGCATCTTGTGTGGGCTCAAAGCCCGTCTAATCAGGGCGGACAAGTCCTTGCAGCAGAGGGTGCAATTTGTTCGCAAGTATCTTTGTGAATATTTTGAGGTCTATATTGATCAACAATATCAGGTGATAGTTTCTACCTTCAGTGGAGTCTTTGCCAGGCTTGGGAACAAATGTGATGTGTACCTCTAATGTTGAAGTGGGTAGTGATAAAGAGTGCTGAAGAGAGTTAAAAGCTTCAGTGAATGGTTACCCAGGGTTAACACGAATGATTTATAATGTTTGGCGGTAAAGCCATCTGGACCTGGAATTTTTCCGACCGGTAAGACCTTAACTTTGACTACAGCTAAGAATTCCTCCTGCAAGATAGGTGCATCAAATGTCTGGACTGTGTTGTTCTGTAATGTTTGGGTTATCCTAGTCGATAGAAAATCCAGAATGTCAGAGTCTTTGGAAGGTAGTGATCTCAGCTTTTAAAGCTCAGTTTAATAATCCTGAAATGCTGTAAATTTGTCTGTGAGTTTATGTGAGATATCCCCTGTGGGAGTTTGGATTTTTTAGATGAATGTGGTCTGCCTGGTGGATTGTTGCATTTTTGCTAGTAAGTGGCCACATTTACCCCCCTGCCATATATATGTTTGGTGAGTAAGAGTTTACTTTCACTTGCATGTTAAGCAGTTGTTGTAGGTCACTGATCAATTTTTGTACAACTGTTTATATACAACAAGAGAGTGGTGATTTTTGTGGCTTTCTTCCAAGCTACAGATTGATTGCATCAGAGCTGTCAGTTGGGATCTTTCGTAATTTCTTACATTGAGAGGCTATCACTATTCTGATCACTGGTTTGTGTGTCTCCCACTTGATTGTTGAGGCCACAAGTGAGTTTGAGTTCTCTAGGAATTAGTTTTGAAGTGTATCAGATAGTGGGTTTGTTACTGTTTTGTCATTTAGTTACGTAGTTACATAGCTGAAAAGAGACTTGAGTCCATCATAGAAACATAGAAACATAGAAACATAGAATGTGACGGCAGATAAGAACCGTTCGGCCCATCTAGTCTGCCCAATTTTCTAAATACTTTAATTAGTCCCTAGCCTTATCTTATAGTTAGGATAGCCTTATGCCTATCCCACACATGCTTAAACTCCTTTACTGTGTTAACCTCTACCACTTCAGCTGGAAGGCTATTCCATGCATCCACTACCCTCTCAGTAAAGTAATACTTCCTGATATTATTTTTAAACCTTTGTCCCCCAGGAGAACACAGCAGCAGAGCCAGATCAAGAGCCCTTCAGCTGGAAGGATTTCGTAGAGGTATACTGGGAGGAACCTCTGATGGCAGTTAGAGATGGGACCTATGTCTCTCTACCAGCCCAACAGGGATGCTGGGCAGTCGGCCCAGATCCCCAACCCCCGGGTGAGTTACAGGGAGAGGAGAGCAGCGACCTCCCTCCCCAGTGGCAGCCTGAGTTACAGGGAGAGGAAAGCAGCGACCTCCCTCCCCAGCGGCAATGCACCGTGCAGAGGGAAGAGACAACCGGTCTCCTTCCCCAACCACAACCAGAGGTACCCGAGGCAGCGGGCCTCATAGACTGGTTTGGGAGGACCCCCAGTAGGCAGGTGGAGATGGGACCGCAGTCTCTCTACCAGCCCTACAGGGATGCTGGGCAGGTGGCCCAGATCCCCAGTGGCAGACCCAGCTACAAGGAGAGGAGAGCATCGACCTCCCTCCCCAGCCGGAGTGTGCCTTCCAGGGAGAGGAGACAACCGGTCTCGCTTCCCAGCCACAGCATGTTCCACAAGGAGCGGAGAGCATCAGGAGTATCAGGAGGAGGAGGTAAGCCAATTCTCCCCTCCCCAGCTAACTCCTAACTCGGGCCCAGGGTTAGCAGTGCAGATGTTAACCCCCACTGACTCCCATGTTCCCTTTGCCACCGGGCAGGACTATACCACAATTCCCCCAGCAGAAGAGCTGGAAGCTGGGCAGAGTGCAGTTGGCCTCTGCCCTCTCGTTGACCCTTGACATTATGCCGGCTATCCCAGCGGAAGAGCTGACATCAGGACAGAGCGCCACTGGCCTCTGCCCTACCTAACCCCTTGTTACAGGACTGGCCTGCGACCCCCTCACCACAGCAGAAGCGCTGGCATCAGGGCAGAGCACCGCTGGCCTCTGCCCACCAAGTATCACCAGCTATTTGCCCAGCTGCACCAGGAAGGCAGAGGATGCTACAGTTTCATCCTACAACCTGGAACCTACAGGCAGTGGTGTATCCTGGTTTTGTGCTGCCCTAGGCAGGACAAAACTCAGGCGCCCCCCTCCCCCCGCGCCACCCCCACCCAACCTTTCCCCCCGCCCCACCTTCAAAATACACACACACAGTCAGACAAACACACACACACACATTCAGACACACACACACAAACACACACACAGTCAGACACACACAGACACAAACACAGTCAGACACAAACACACACACACATACACAGTCAGACACACACACTCAACACAACACAGTCAGACACACACACACACACACACACAGTCAGACACAAACACACACAGACACAAACACACACAGACACAGACACAAACACACACACACACACAGACACATACACAGTCAGACACATACACAGACACAAACACACACACAGTCACACACACACACACAGACACACACACACACAAACACAGACACAAACACACACACACTCACAAACACAGTCAGACACAAACACACATTAACTTTTTTTTTAATTTAAATCCCCCCCCAACCGCCTTACCTTTGGGAGTGCTGGGGGGGGGGAGGTCTCTCTCTCCCTGGTGGTCCAGTGGCTGCCGGGCGGGCGGCACTGGCAGGCAGGCGGCTGGCGAGGGAGCTCTTCCTATGAGCTGACTGCTCAGCTCCCTCGCGTGCCGGCTGCAGAGTGAGGCTGGGAGCCGGAAGATGACGTCATCTACCGGCTCCCAGCCTCACTCTGCGGCGCGCGAGGGAGCTGAGCAGACAGCTCATAGGAAGAGCTCCCTCGCCAGCCGCCTGCCTGCCAGTGCCGCCCGCCCGCTCGGGATGTCAGTTAGCCGCAAGGCTAACTAGGCATCTGCCCTGGGCATTTGGGGGGCGGCGTTTGGGGGCCGCCCCCTGAAAAATGCCGCCCAAGGCAAATGCCTTGTTTGCCTCGCGGCTAATACGCCCCTGCCTACAGGCCAGTACTATTTATTGTGGGGGGGCTACTTTGCTACTTGTTATTTTTGTGGGTGGGCTGCGAGACTAACTTAGGCACTAACCGACAGGAGGTCAGGTGCCTGGTTAGTCTCCCTCCAAAAGGGGAGATATGTTACAAACTGCTATTTGTAACTGGCCCTTTAAATGACAAATTGCCCTGCTTCCCTGGGTTGTGGAGAAGCCTATTTGCCAGCCTCCTCCCGCATGACTATGGCCCCTGGGAGATTGTGAAAACTTATGGACTTTTATTGGGTGTGTATGGCCCTTTAAGACAGTCGGTGGGCATATTGGGGCTTATGGACTCTTTATGGGACTGGTGCTGGCCCTTTAAGCACCTTTTTGGGGCATCGGGAAGATTGGGACACTGCCCCTTTAAGACGGTGTCCCCAGACTTGTTTGGGACACTGCCCCTTTAAGATGGTGTCCCCTGTGTCCCTAGACCTGGTTAAAACCCTTTGTTCCTGGCTATTTCCCACTTGGTTCAGTAAATGGGGCTTACTGAACCAAGTACCACACAGGCGGACCACCTGTATTGGGAGTGTGTCGGCAATTTACCTCCCAGAAGCTGCGGTTAACCGCAGCCTAATTGCCGAACGCTGGGTGGCCTTTGTTCGTTTGCCGAACACGTGGCAGCGGCCATCTTTGTTCATTCGCACGAGGTCAGCAGTATGTGCAGCCAAATTCATGGAACTAAAATCGGCTACACATTTCCGCGAACACCGCTGGCCTGTACCTTCTCCCATACTGAACTTTCAGCCGCAGAGACTAAGTCCCATTCAGCGATGGGACTTAGTCGTTTCTCCAGCTCAAAATAGACCGACCGCACAGCCCAAATCTATGGAACTGTTTTGGGCAGGAAAATGTGCTTGCGGTCGGTCATAAAGGGACCTCCAGCTAACTTTTTAACCCTTGGATGGATTTGGCTGATTTTTGGCTATGTTTATATTTGAAGGTTGCTGATTCTGAATATGTAAGATTGAAGATGAAGATTGGATGTGTAGTTTTAAAATTACAGTGTATGGATAAAAACTGTATTTTTACTGCCTGTGATAATTATGTTAACCCATTGTGTACCATAATTAGATCATAGGCAGAGGGGAGGATTTTGTGTGTAATTGCTGGGAGTGTTTCTGTAATATACGTGTATGATTGGTTGTTGTGTAAAACCCTGTGGGTTGTCCTATCTAAGGGAAACCTGCATAAAAGAAGGTTCTTTTGGTGTCAATAAACAGAATGACTTGACCCTCTAACTTGCAGCCTTGACTCATGTTTGTAGGGGACAGCTATAATCACTACAGGGATTGCTATGCTCTTCATACTCCCTTAGCTACTGAGCTCTTGTAAGAGCTCTTGTTCCTGATCCTGCTTCACTCTACAGAAGGAAGAGGTTCACCTACTGGAACCTGGAGCCTGGTCGTAGGTCCAGGGTGGATAGCAGCCGGTGAGATCCTAGCCCAGCAGCGGCGGTTCGTGGAGTCTGCAGTACTTATGGTGTCTACACAGTAGTTATGGTGTCTACGGTGCTGATGGTCCTTTGGTGAGCGCTAGGAGCATCCTTTCTACGGTCCAACTTCCAGCCAGCTTGGAGGACACCGTAACACTTCCTCACATTTGTTTTTTGCTGTTGATCCAAAAGAAGGCAAAAAAACCCAGTTTGAAGCACTTTCAATTTTGCAACAAGCTAGGAAAAAAATTCCTTCTTGACCCCAGAATAGCAGTCAGATTTATCTTTGGATCAAGCAGTTATTACCCTACATTGAAAGATTATATCCTTGAATATTCTGTTTTTGCAGGTATGCATCTAGTAGCTGTTTGAACATCTGTATGGACTCTAATAAAACCACTTCTTCAGGCAGTGAATTCCACATCCTTATTTTTCTTACAGTAAAAAAAAAACCTTTCCTTTGCCTAAGACGAAATCTTCTTTCTTCCAGTCTAAAAGCATGGCCTTGTGTCCTATGTAAAGTCCGGTTTGTGAATAGATTTCCACACAATGGTTTGTATTGGCCCCGAATATATTTGTATAATGTTATCATATCCCCTCTCAGGTGATGTTTTTCGAAACTAAATAGGTTTAAATTTGTTAACCTTTCTTCATAGCTGATATGTTCCATTCCTTTTATTAATTTTGTAGCCCGCCTCTGCACTTTTTCTAGTGCCATAATATCCTTCTTTAAAACAGGTGCCCAAAATTGCACAGCATATTCAATATGCGGTCTTACCAGTGATTTATCAAGAGGCACAATTTTATTCTCGTCTCGAGAATGAATGCCCTTTTTCATGCATGACAATACCTCTTTAATTTAAGAGGAGATCATTTAGTTTCCACTGAACTTTTTGAGCAGCAGGGGAGGAATGTGAATGCAAAGAAAAAGGATGGCCAGACCATGTAATAGGACCATAGTGACAGGAATGGATCAGGTGGAAAAACCTATGCGGAAGGAAAAGCATGTCTAGTCTTGAGTATGTTTCTGTGGCAGAGGAATAGTAAGAATAGTCTTTGGATTGTGGGAGGGTGATTTGCCATCACTCGAAGCGTTGGGCCTCATCTTTTTGGCTGAGGATTGGTAGGTAGATGTGTCAGTGGTGGTGTCCATGTCAGAATCTATAGATATGTGTCTCATCCCGTTCCTAGCTGCAGATCATTCTGGCAATGGCTTCTGGTATCCAGTACTCTTTTTTTTTTTACAATTCTTGTTTAGTTTTTCTTGGTTTTTCTGGTTTTCTATTCCATGTCTGGTTTTCTTTGTGCTGGGTTTTCTGGGTTCATTCCTGTATTCCAGTTTCTTGGATTCTTTTAAATGTTTGTTCTATGTTGCCACACCCGTTCCTTTTCCATGATTCCTTTTGTTTCACTTGGTCCCTGTAGGCAGTTGCTCAAGTTCTCTGCCTTTTCTTGCAGGTAAGTGCTGTATGTGCTTTATTATGGTTAATTTAGCAGTCATTAGGCAGTTAGAGCAGGACCTGCCAAATATGGGGTACATTGGCATTGTGGCAGGCTTATGCAATGTATGATCATATAATGTAACTAAATCCCCATAGTTTTTCACAAATAGTACTTAGTTATTTCTCCTCTTGTTTTGCCTATTATATCTTGTCTTGTTTTATTTTGTATTCCCAGTCCATGTACAGTCCTGTCCTGTCCTGCCCCTGTTCTGTTAATGTTTCCCTTATGCATTGTGTACATGCTCTCGGTTTAGCTTCCTATCCCTCTCTAGTTCTGGGTTCTACTAGTTCTGTCTTGTTTTCATGTTTGGTGTCTGTTCTAGTCTTGCTTTGTTTCTGTACTGGATACATTCCTGCTGCAGAGCCTCCCTATTCAGCTCCTGGGAGGCCTGCTTATTTCCAAGCTCCTAGTTCCTGGGATCTGCTGAAGCTGCATCAGGGTCCTGGTATGTGGCCGCACAAACACTGGTGCTCAAAACCAGGGGGCGTGCGGTTACCCTGCACCAGACCCTGCTAATCCACTTCCACACTTTGACTCCTACTTCAACATCAGGCATACTGGATTCCTGTCGTCCGACCGCCGCCCAGACAGCGTCTGGGTCCCGGCTACCAGACCGCTACCCTGACAGTATGCCGTAGGCCCTTGGAGTTCCTGGAGTGGACTTTGCAGCTTTCCTGACCTGCCCTGTCTGTATACAGTCCTACCTGGATTATTCCTGATTCCGTTTTTGATTCCGATTCCGGTTATGTGGCAGTGCTCCTGTTCTGGCGGTGATCTTCATTCGTTGCAGGTGGTTCTTTTTTTTTTTTTATTCTTTATTTTTGAATTCAGGCATGGAGCATCACATATCATACATGTATCGTGTCATCTTTACAATACCATGGTATCGAAATACTCAGATATCCTTTCGGTAACATATCACATCATATGGAATTATCAAGCACTACATTTAGCAAGCACTACACTCCTCTGATTTTGCCCATTTTCAGGATGACCCGGTATGTCTGGGTCTATACCACAGTTGATTACACATCAATATGTATGTTAACCATGAGTTGTCTGCGCGGGTCTGCTAGAGGGCCTTCTCAGACGAGCCTATACCTCGTTATATACGGTATATATGCGTTTGTCTACTGCTGTGGGGCCTTGCTATTCCCGTATTGGCGGGGACTGCCCTTGCCCTTGAGATGCCCGCTATTCAGAGAGTGTGTCTACCTATCGGCTGTTGAAATTATAGCTCCATACTGAACTTGTTTGTAAGGTAAATGGGAGGGGAGGGGCCATACCGGATGCGCCCACCGCACACGCGAGGCAATGCGTCACCCAGCTCTGCTGGTGTGTCTCATGGCGTCTGCGCCATTCTGTCCACATAGTCCTCCCATGGTTGCCACACTTTTGAGAAGGTGCCCATGGTATTCTGAATCCGCGCTGTCAATTTGTCCATTAGGCAGTTGTCTTTTATTTTATGGATTACTCTGTGTATAGAGGGGGCGTCCGGGCTGAGCCATTGTTGGGTCAGCGCCCTTCTGGCCGCTAAGGTAATTTTATTAACTAGTTTCTGTTCTCTTGCCGTCAAGTCATCTTGTGGTTTAGCTAGCAGGTAAGTCCAAGGGTCTTTGCGTATTGGTCGTGCTAATATCGTCGTCATCAGCTTCTCTATGTCCGACCAGTATCTGGCCACTTTGGGACACGTCCACCACATGTGGACGTATGATCCCCGCTCTCCGCAGCCCCTCCAGCATGTGTCCGTGGTGGTTTTCCCATTTTAAATAATTTAGCCGGGGTGGTGTACCATCTCAGGAGGGTTTTGTATGCCTGTTCCTGAAGTGTTACACACACGGACACCTTTGCTGCTGCTTCCCATATGTCCCTCCAGTCCTCCCCTTCCAGTGTCTGATGGAGATCCTGTTCCCATTGGGTGACATAATTAAGTGGTGCTGCGTCTCTCCCCAGGGCGCTAAGTTGTGCATATAATGTGGTGATCAGGCCCTTATGGGTTGATTCAGTGATACACAGTTTCTCATAGCTAGTTAGTGGGGTCCTAGCTACCTTTCGTATTCCAGGGCGTGTCGCGAAATCGCGTAGTTGGATGTATCTAAATAGGTCTTTTGTTTGCAGCGGTGCAGTTTTGTTTCAGCTCCTCAAACGATTTAAATGTGTCCCCATCATATAAATGGTAGTACCTTTGTAGGCCTGTGTATTCCAACCCTTTAAAGTCCCGTGCTCGTAAGCCTGGAGGGAACGCTTTATTTCTCAGATATGGGGTGAGGGGTGAGGGAGTGCTGGTCAGTGCGTATTTCTGTGCGGTGGCATCCCAGACTCTGATGGAGTTAGTTATGGCTGGGCAGCTTGTGCGCAGGGCAGGTCTGTCTAATTTTGGAACCCAAATCCAATATTGAGGAAGATCCGATCCCATCATTAGGGACTCCAAGTCTGCCCATCTGCGTGCCTCTGGGGGTGAGTGCCACTC